ACGAAACTCTAAGCTAGTTAGCTAGTTAAATGATTTAGCTCAACTCAAAATATACTGTAAATATAATCAGTTAGGTATCAAACTAAAAGTGTAAAATAAGATTGCAAGATGTGTTTTCAGTAGGCTAAAGCTAACGTTAGAAAAAAAGGGGCATACGGGAGGCTAGCTTTATAACAATCAGATTATTTTTCAATGATTTAGTTTTAAGCATATTGAATGTAACTCAAAATATACTGTAAATATCATCAGTTGGCTATCAAACTAAAAGTGTAAAAATAAGATTGGAACGTGTGAACGTTAGGCTAAAGCTAACGTTAGGAGTTCAAGAAAAAGTAAGCTAGTTAGCTAGCTAAATGTTTTGTTAAATAGTATGGCAAAAAGTATCTTTCACACATTCCCTGCACTTTGCTGGACGAATGTAAACAGCATAATAAAAACCCTTCTAGGCATCTAGCAAATTAACAGAAGTGAAGCATTGTAGATCAACTATGATAGAACAACCAAGAAGCACTGATGTAAACAGAATATGCCTCTTCTCACCTCATAACTTAGAGGTCAAATCTTTCCTTTTTTTGTTTGCAGTGAGGTTGAAGCAGCTCAAGTTGATGTGATGGAGATATTTCCTGATCTCTTCGCATGTGTTTACAAGTTTGCCAAGACTCAAGGGTGGAATTCAGAGACCCCGTTGAAGGAAATGTTCCTTAGAGAAGACATCAGCACCAGCTTTACATCCACAAGCCCTGAGGAGCCTCTGTCTGTCCCCGTACAAGAGTCTCAACCCAGCGACTTGAAGTGAAGAAATACTTGAGAGTCTTCTAAGCAGTCAGAGAATAAAAGCACAAGCAATTCTGAATACGCCTGTAAGGCTTTGCGTGTGCATTGTACATAGGAACTATTTCCAAAGGCTGACAGTAACAGTGTACTGTAGTTCAATTTTAGGGACCTTTTTCCTACATTTTAAAAAAAGAAAATCACTTTTTAAAAACATTATTATGATGAACTATGCTACCTGTATTTGCAACATAATTGTTTCATGGCTTCAGTCTATTTCTTTTACCACTTATTATACACAAGGGATATGATGAATACAAACATCAGGAAATTGAAAAAGTTAAACCACTGAATTAGCTGCATCTCAAATTAATAACTATTTTGATGCATCAATATTACCAGTAAAGTACCTGAGACTGACGAAGTTCCTTATTTTAAAGATTCTACTGTTGACATTTTTCTTTCCACTATAGTTTAAAAAAAATCACATTTACATTTTAGAATATTTTATAATTTTGTATTACCATGGTATTGCTATAATATGTTGGGGGAGCAGAAAGTGAGGGAGTTGATATAATGAACTCTGAACTACACATACATTGACACTGATAGAAGCTCTTTAAGTGTTTCAGTGATGTCAGGGAAACAAACCTACATACACTGTTGTACTAATAGAATCATTTAACTTTTTATTTTTCAACTAAAACTTTAAAAGGCTCCTCACTGAAGAAGTGATAGCTCAAATGTATGAACAAAATAAAAATACATCATTTGTTTGTCTACAAATGAAGGAAACTATGTGTTTATGTAAATATGTTCACTCTCGTTGAGAGGCTTTTTCCGTCTGTCATTCTCTTCTTACTAATACTGAATGTTAACTTACAAGCTACAAAATGTGCATACAACATGGACTGCAATGCCACTACCTGTTTGTCACACAAAAACTGAACAGAACTTTGCACTTACTTTAAAAAAAACAAATACAAAAACATTACTGCACCTTGCAACTTAAAATATACATTAAAAAAAGGGTGTTTGCTAAATTATTTTTAAATGATCCTAACAAACTCAGAAGTCTACAAGTGCATGGTATCGATCTCTAGTTCCAAGTGTCCTTTAATACAGCATGATGTGAATTTCAAAAATGATGTTCTCTTTTTGAGTAAAATAGACGATCAAGCAGCGTATGCTTATGGTCGGAGCAAACTTGTGATTGACAGGTTGCTACAACAGTGTTATTTGCTTTTGCTGTGTCCAGTGTTTAATATATTTAAAGAACATAAAATATGCTTAATAAGGACCAAGTGTAACATTACATTGGATGGGATTCCATGTTTCACAATTTGATACCAAAAAATGCTTCAAACTCATCAATAGTTGCCATAGTGACAGAACAGTTTTTGTAAGTGCTCTATAACTGAAGTTTTTTATGGCAACATATCTTTCCTGGTAACATCATGTTTTCTTATTCCCACAGAAACTGTGAAGCAAAGAAGTTAATATCATCCCACAGTTACAAATGGAGCAAGCTTCTGCTAAAATCACCCTACTACTGGGACAGCTTTGTTCACATGAGCAAACTGACTATAAAGGCATTCTGGAAGAATTAGTTATGATAACACGGACAACAAAAGGCACCACAGACTGGGATCCCAACTTTATTGAGGAGGTTTGCAAGACGATTGCTCCTTTTGTGTGTCAAGACTACTCTGATGAGATTCGAGCCTTAATTCATAACTGTTACATGTCTAATATGTGTAATATGTAACGTAAACGCTTTGAGCACATGGAAAAGTGCTCTAATATTTTTTTTTAATGAATTATCATTATTATTATTTAAGCAAAGTAATTTATGTGGTGTTGAATCTTTTGTCTACAATTGATGTGTGAAACATAACAGATGGCCCTAGGGACGTGGCTTGGTAACCGGAAGGTCACCAGTTCAAGTCCCTGAAAGACCAAGTGCTACCAAGGTGTCCCTGAGCAAGGCATTGTTCCCCACACTGCTCCCCGGGTGCCGTACATATGGCAGCCCACTGCTCTTAACACTAGTATTGGTGAAATGCAGAATGTAATTGATCATCCCACAGTTGTCACAGAGGTGGGATCAAGGAATCCTTTCTTCTTCTCCTAAACTGTACATGCAAACTTGAGTATCTAAATAAATGAGTTAAAAATCTGATTGTTGTTTTATCATGTTTGTGATTATGTTCTATGGTAATAGTAGGCTATGTATATCAGTCAGGGATTATCTCTCCCCTCTTAATGCTCTTAAACATATTTGTTCTATAATACAAAGTGCTTTGAATATTAAAGGAGGCTCAGTTCATTAATGTCAAAGGATTTAAAAAGCATATTATCTCAATAGTTGTATTTATTTAATAGTTTGTATTCCATCTAGTATTTCATTTAACTGTCTGATTTACTGTTATTCCACCATATGATGCCTTCGTGCTTTTATTGTGAAGGAAACCTTCAATTTACATTGTATTCCTCTAAAAAGAGCGCTTCAGTTTAACTATTTTACAGAAACATTTATTTTATAGTGTCACATATGGAAAAGTGTTGAATTCATATCAGAATTATTGCTCAAAACGCATATTTTTTTGACAATACTTTTATTTTCATCACTGTACCGGAAGTCGTATATTTTTTCCCCACATCTCATTCCGCGCGAATTGACAGCGGAGCCAAATACAGTGACACCGCATCCGGATAAACAAACGGGGGAGTGGCGGCTCGGACTGAGGCGGACAGGCAGCCTGTATCCTGACATTGTTTTGCAAAATATTCCGGATAATAATGCAGTCTTCCAAGAGGAGCGAGAATGACTGGCAGGGGCTGGTGAGCGAGGTGAGTGAGACCGGGAACAGCTGTGCAGAGGCGGACTACTTTTACCGAAGCTCCGGTGTCCATATGGAACAGCTTTACTGTTTGAATAGACCGAGGAGCTGTGCAACATCACAAATAAACCCACTTTTTATTCGTTTTTTGTATGATATGCTGTCTACTGGTTGATTTAAGAGGTGACCATGTTATTTTGTCAGGCCTCCGGGTTGGAAATGCAGTGCCACATGCCCACATCCTTAACGCGACCTGATGCAACACACCTGTAGGGCTGCTGCATCTCTACATTGCTCGAATTAATCTTTAATGCTATTTAGAACTATTCGACTAAAGGGGGATATATTAAATAGACATTTATATTAGGCTAATGTTTAAAATGTTTTAAATATGGTGATAACTATATTAAAGTTGTGATAAATAAACAGAGATTAAAGTTTACTTAGTTTTTTGCTGCCTTTAATGCACTTCTAAAATACAACACATTGCTGTTGAAGTATTCGTATTAGCACTATCCTATAATAAAGAAAATGTACTTAAGAAAAATGTCTGCTTTGACTTTATTAATGTTAGATAGTTTCATTTTTATTTTAATACTTAGAATTGACAATTTGTCACTATTTTCACATGTTTTTCTGACCAAACAAACCATCCATTAAGTGGCAAAAATAACTGCCTCATTTAAATTGCATTAGTTGCATCTGTGAAAGAGTGGTTATCATGGCTGAGCTGCAGACACTACTACAAGCTGCTATTTAATTTGGTTATGAGCTGTACTGATGGATATGAAGCTTCGCTCTGTTCCCTCTGCTGTGTGTTATCTACATGTAAGGCACTTGGCTTCAGTGTGTGTGTTTCCACCTGTAGGGCACTGGTTGGGGTTGGTATTATTTGCACAGTTAAGTGTTTCTAACGAAGCTGGATGATACAGTTGATGTGAAAATGTTATATACAGTTGTACTCTTTGGCCCCTGGAATTAACACGAAAAGTGTCAGTGTCAGCAATTAAAGGGCAAAGCGGCCACAAGAATGCCCCGAAAGCTGTGATCAAACCAATGATCTGGAGAGTCACAGTCCCTAACCTGTGCTCTGTGATGGTGTGTGTGCGGTGTTTGTAGTTCCTGGTGTGTAAGTGGAAGCTGGAGAGTAAGAAGGAGGCTCTGCTCATCCTGTCTAAGGAGCTGGACACCTGTCAGCAGGAGAGGGATCAGTACCAGCTGAGGGAGCGCCACCAGGAACTGAAGAAGAAGTACAGGGAGCTCATCGTGAGTGCTCATGTTGATCTGTCCTCAGTATTTTCTCTACACACACGTCATTTTTCCCTGTCCCCGTGCACTCTCCATGTGGACTTCCAGTTTAAATACTAAACTCTTTTCATATTTTAGGACGGTGACCCCTCTTGCCACCAGAAAAACGCAATCAAGTAAGTTGTGGTTAAAATCAAGGACTCCATGTATGCCACTGATGCCAAAAGTATTTCTTACTAAAGCATATCTTATATATCTGCTATATGAGTACTGTATTTTTGTTAAAGTTTTGCTAAGATTGTACATTTTCAGTGTCAAAATAATATCCACTGACTTTATATGTTCTTAGTTCTCTTTTATGATTCAGTCTCTCAAAGGTTTCAAACATAGGAAAATGTTTGGGAAAAATAATACAATAAATAATACTTTTTTAATAATCTAGATTTATTTTATGAATATTATTATAATACTTATTTTAATATGTATATATATTTAAAATATACAGTAAAGAAATAAATATTCTACTTGTGGTTGACACTGGAAATGTGATTATTAAGAGTTATATTGTCTTATTTTGTTTGTTTTCTTAATCTTCACTTGTTTACAGAATTTACTTTCTAGATGTGATGTGGCCAATATCTAGACATCTTGTTTAACAGTTATGTATTCATGTATAATCAGAGTTTAGACAGCTACAAGTGTAATATAGGTTAGAAATCAGCCGCAAAATAAGTGTTAAAGGAGAGGTGTCATGGCCATTTCCACTGATCATAATTCCATTGTTGAGGTATACTAAAATAGATTTATGCTGTGCATTTTTCCAAACTCACATTGGTTTCGCATACAGCATCTCTGTAAACTACATGTATTCACTGAATTTCACTCTCTGCCTTTAACGGCTCGTTGTAGCTCCAATAGCTCCAGCCCCCACCCTCCCTGTGAGCACAGTGTGCTCTGATTGGTCTGGATGTTGTGAATCACGCAGAGCTCCGTGGAGGTGTTGTTTCCTTGTTTAGGATACATAGCGAAACACAGCCAAACTCATCCTGAGCGCAGACAAACTCACAGCCGAAGTAAAAACAATAAGTGTGGCTTGATATTGAGTAAGAAAAAGGTTGATAAACGCTGTGAGAATGGGTCTGCAGAGAGAATTTCGCCGCAATCCCAACTGTCTGTTATCAGCCTGCAGCCAGGGAGGAGAAATCAGCAGAGTGTGTGTGTGTGTGTGTGTGTGGAAGTCCGTGGATTGGTCAATTTGGACCAATCAGCGGGGGCTTAACGTAACGGCTCCGCGGACGTAACGTAACGGCTCCACGGATTGGTCCATTTGGTTCCGGGTACCGCATGACCGTATCGTGTCATAGCTCTGGGTGTGGCTACTGGGTGTTCACACGTCACAATGTCCAGGAAGAACATGAGAAATCTCCAACGAGGCGTTTTGGGGAGGTCTTTTCTGTGTTAGATAGACCCTCCAGAAAAACGCGGGCTAAAATCCTTGATTATGCAGGCTAAAATCCTTGATTATGCGATTAAACATGCGGGGTTTTTATGTGATTTTATGCGGTGAAGTTGCGAAATATGCGGAAATATGCGAAAAGTTGCGAAATATGCGGGAGGCGGAAAAAAGGTGATTCTTCTCCCACACCCTGTTACTAGGCTACTACTGAATGAAAGTGAGCCCTTTTAAAGAGTTCCTATGATAAACAAGCATACTAGAAGCAAGCTACATCACAAAGTGTTATTTATGTATTTATATATGGGCTATTTTAATCACTCTCTCACACACACACACACACACACACACACACTCTTCTCCGCCTCATTCTGTTTTCATTTACTCGTTCGTTATCTGACCAGCTTCAATCTTGTAGGCTACTCACCTCGTTTCTTGTAGCCCTCGAAAGGGTTTTGGAGGTTGATGCCTCGGTGAACCTGAGTTGTTTGACTTTCTTGTCCGCAGCAGCAGAAAGCATTTTAGAATGTTTGAATGAATCAAAGTGGGTCGTCACCGTCGATTTTCTCTTATGCTCCAACACACAGTTGCACGGGGTGCAGAATAGTTTCCCCCCACTTTCGTGCAAGACATCGGGGTACTGCTTTGCCCGGTCTTTAGCAGAAATGTTCGTAGGCAAATGAGATGGATTCGATTTTTTTATCTTGGTCAGAGCCGTATAATAGTATAATAGTATAATAGTATATAATAATCTATATGGCGCTGATCTTGTTGTTTTCTCTCTCGTGTGAGTTCCACACATTCACTCTACGGTGTTGTTTACCTGCGCGAGCTGATGACATCACTACTTCACGTTAACTTTTTTTTCCCTCAACTTTGTGTGGAAAAATGCGGGGATTATGCGACCTTTTAATAAATATGCGCCCTTTTAAAAATATGCGCTATTTTGCTGATTATGCGGTAAATTATGCGATCGCATAATCGCGTTTTTCTGGAGGGTCTAGTTAGAGTTTTACTCCCTACAGGGTGTACTTTGAGAGTTTTTGACTCTGCAGACCATTTACATGCATAAAAACCTTCATAACACACAAGGGGACGGGTAATAACCGGAAAAGCATGACACCTCTCCTTTTAATATAATTCTAAATGAAGTATAGAATAGTTAATACAATGTAATACAAAATTAACACGATTACCATTTTAAATATATTTTTCAATGAGAATAATGATCAAACCCTCTCATATCGTGAATTATATTGTTATTGCAATATCAGCCAAATAATCGCAATTAGTAATATTTCCAAATCATGCAGCCCTAATCTCCATGACGATCCACGTGGCCAATCACCAGCTGTTTTCACGATTCTCCTCCATCTTCTCCTCAGGTGAACCTGGCTCAGCTGCTGAGAGACTCCAGGGAACGAGTGCATGAGATGGAGGAGATGGAGCACAACATGAAGGCTCTGACCGACGAGCTGCAGGACGTGAAGGCGGAGCGCGCCGTGTTCAGGGAGAAGACCTACCGCCTGAACGTGGAGCTCAACCACGTCCTGGGCAACCGTGAGGCACGCATCATTGATGTGGATGCCCTCTGCATGGAGAACAGGTGAGTGGGACACAAGATCTTTGGGAACTACTTTCCCATATCTCCAGTTCTAGAGAGGCCATGTGTTTTCTACAAGCTGCAGATTCCCAGACACTTGCTTTCACTCTAAGTAACTGCTTCCTGTGTAGACATGTCTCCATATTTACCCTCTTTCTTTTGCTTTACTGGGTGTTAACACATCAGAATTATTCTGTTTTGGAAATAAAGAGAAGAATATCTCTTTATAAAGAGAACACAATATATTGTAAAAGCTGAAAAGTGAAGTTAAAGATATAACCACATCTTTAAACGTGTTTTTTAAAATTATTTCAAATGTTTCAGAGAAATTTGTAATTTTAATTAAGCTAACGGTACGTTTCCTCTGGTCTATTGTGAGAGAATTGTCACATATTGACTTTTTATTCAGTTTTTAGCCACATTTTCATCACAAATGATTCGTTGCTGATGCAGGTATTTGCAGGAGCGGTTTAGCCAACTGCAAGAGGAGGTGAACCTGCTGAAATCCAACATCATGAAGTACAAGGTACAGATGGAGGGCCTCTGACTCTGACGATTCATTTAAACGGTGGCACTGCAAGCTTTATTCCTCCTTTCCCCCCCTCCAACAGACAGCTCTTGAGAGGAGGAAGAACTCCAGTCCTCTTGTGGTTTCATTTGTTCTTAAGAATAATCTTCACTTATTTGCCCACAACCCATTTTTGTAGACATATCTTCAGCAAATATAATATATTTTGTTTAAAACTGTACACATTTAAAAGCTACACGCCTACCAGCTGAGAGCTTAGGACTCTTTACTAAAGGACAGAGGTTAGACATCTGAATACAAAAGCAGGTATGGCTATAAAGTTAAACTGTAAAAGCCACTCAAGGCTTATTTAAGTGAATACAATATGAGACGGCCTAGAGATGTTGAGTTAGTTATGTTGGACATGATTGGACTTTATGGACCCCCCTTTTTTGGGTCTAGTTTGAGGTCCAATGAGGGGCCCTCTTTGAAGAGGAGGACTTTCCCCACGCACCGGGATGGAAGATTCCCACATATTTGGAAGCCCTTTTTATTTGTAGTTTGTGTTTTGTTCATAATCTACATGTTTACATATTGCAGAGTGGTTTTGGGAGCACATATTGAGGAAGCAGTAAAAACGTAAGGATGTCTAACAGTACCAATATAGTGTCGCTGAATATAAATGGTCTAAGCACACCAAAGAAAAGAGAGAGGGTTATAAGAAAATTGAAAAAGGAAGATGTACAAATCGTATTCCTTCAGGAGACCCATTTATCCAAATTAGAACGTGAGAAACTGAGAAGGTATGGTTTCAGAAATGTATACTATAGTTCATATAAGGAGGGGAGGAGAAGAGTTGCAATATTAATATCCAATCAAACCCAATTTGAATATGAAATCAAAGACAAAGAAGGAAGGTATATCATAGTTAAAGGAAGATTAGAAAATGAACCAATAACACTGATAAATATATTTGCACCACCAGAAAGCGATAAAACTTTTTCTCTGTTCGATGTAATTGCTGTAGAAACAAAGGGAATCTTAATTTGCGGTGGAGATTTGAATGTAGTTATGAACCATAGTAAGGATACAACTAGTCACAAAAGATCCAAACAGTAATTATCAAAATTCGTAAATATATCACTCAAAGAAATCGAGATGATAGATGTATGGAGAACCCTACATCCTTTGGAAAAAGACTTTACACATTTCTCGGCCGCCCATAAGGTCCACTCAAGGATAGACTATTTCCTCATAAATGTAAATGATATTCACAGGGTAAAGGAATGTAGGATAGGAGGGGCAGATGTGTCGGACCACAATCCAGTCTTCTTAAAAATATGTTTAAATAACAGGACATGACACACTGTCTGGAGACTCAACGCTGGAATATTAAATAGTGAACAAAGAAAGGAGAGAATAAAAGCAGAAATTAAAAACTACATAGAGGAGAATGACAATGGAACAGTAGACCCTACACTCCTATGGGATGCCATGAAAGCGGTCATCAGAGGGAAATTGATAGCTGAAACTGCAAATGCAAAAAATATTAAATTAGAGGCATGTAGAAAATATTCAAAAAGATTAAGAGAATTGCAAAGGGAATTTCAGAATACAAAAGAATCAGAAACAGACCAAGAAATCAAACATTTGAGAACAAAGATAAATGATTTACTACTATTATGAAACTGGACCCAGAGCCACTAAACTATTAGCAAAACGTTTACCAAAACAACAAGTAATTAACACTATTAATAAAATGAGGGAACCAGATACAAACGTGCTGACGTATACACCGGAGAATATAGAAAGAATCTTTCAGGATTACTACAGGCAATTGTATACACAACTGACATCTGCAGATAAAGAGGAAATGAGGGCTTTTTTAAACTCACTAGACTTACCGTCAATTGGCAACATACAAAACGATGTTCTTACAGCGGACATCACAATAGAGGAGGTGAATAACGCAATAAGTGGATTCAAAAATAATACATCTCCAGGTAGTGATGGATACCCTGCGGAGTGGTACAAGATGTTTAGAGAAGAGCTGGCACCGCTTCTACTATCCTCTTTTAATTGGACAATTCATAATAACAAGATGCCACCATCATGGAACTGAGGCAATCATTTCAGTCATACCTAAACCAGGGAGGGATAAAGAACACTGTGGAAACTATAGACCCATCTCAATATTGAACGTGGACTATAAAATATACACAAACATTATTTCTAAACGACTGAACACTTTTATATCAGAAATTCTAGAAGACCAGACAGGATTCCTAAGCCAACGTCAAACACAAGATAATATTAGAAGGACTCTACATATAGTGGACCATGCACAAAAGACTAAACAAAGTACTATACTAGTAAACATTGATGCAGAAAAAGCATTTGACCGGGTAAATTGGGAATTTTTGTATCAAGTATTGGAACGATTTGGATTTAATAAGAAGGCAACACAATGCATAAGAACATTATATCAAAAACCAACGGCTAGAATCAAAATGAATGGAAGCTTGACAGACAGAATTGACCAACTACACCATCAACAATGATTAGGGACACATTTAATCTTAATTGGGATTTTAAGCAAATAAAGTATTTGGGTGTCATCATTACTAGGGGATTCAATAAAATATACAAAGCAAACTACAATAAGATAAATCAAGAGATACAAAAAGATATCAAGAGATGGTCTACTCTACCACTAGACTTTACCTCTAGAATTGAGACGGTGAAAATGAATCTTATGCCACGACTTCTCTACCTGTTCCAATCCCTGCCAGTGGAGGTTCCCCAAACTCAATTTGCAACATGGGATGGGCAAATATCAAGGTTTATTTGGGGGGGCAAAAAAACCCAGAGTAAAGTATGAAACTCTCCAGTTACCTAAAAACAAAGGGGGCATGGACCTTCCCAAACTAAAGGAATACTATAATGCTGCCCAATTAAGATATGTTGTATGCTGGTGCAAACCAGATTACACATCAAAGTGGAAGGAAATAGAAAAGGAATGTGTTGAATATCCAATCCAGAATATTATTGGCGATAAAGAAATATACAAGATAATACAGAACCAACTAGATTTAATTACATCCTTCACTCTGAAATTATGGTTTCAAATAGTTAAAAAGCACGGGATAGGGAAAGATATACATTTACTAAAATGGGTAGCATTTGATAGTAGTTTTAAACCGGCTGGATACGATAAGGGATTCAAACTATGGGTAACCAAGGGGATTACAGCATGGTGCACTTTAGAGATGGATGGGGAGCTGGAGAGTTTCCAGAATTTGAAGGATAAATATGATCTGGATAAACATGACTTCTACAGGTACTTACAAATAAGGGACTACTAAAAAAAGCTAATTAAAAGAGACCCCTCTGCTGAAGTGAATGGTGTGATTCAAATCATAACTAATTCATACAAAGAAACCACAATTAGAATCATAACTGCTCTATACAAAGTATTGTCCTGAAATAAACATTCAACTAAATATATAAAAGAGAAATGGGAAACAGAATTGAACACAACCATTTCAGATGATGATTGGCAAAACATGTGGAAGATACATCAATCATCCACCAATTCACGGATATGGAGGGGATACTCATGGAAACATTTGATCAGATTTTTTATCACACCTAAGATTCAGAGTAAATACTTAAATACAAATCCTCTGTGCTGGAGAGAATGTGGAGAATCAGAGGCCAACCATGCACACATATTTTGGTAATGCTTAAGTTCTGGGAATCGATACACAAGGTTTTGCAAAAGATACTGAGTTATGATGTTCCTATGGACTACATGGTACTCTATCTGGGCAATTTTACAGAGGAAAATGTTCACTACATAGATAGATATCTTGTAAAAATACTGTTGATAGCTGGCAAGAAAGCCATAACTAGGAAATGGTGCAGGGTGGAGCCTCCTACTATGGAACAGTGGATGGGGATCGTGGAGGAGATTCATATAATGGAAAAAATGACATATCGACTGAGACTGCAAGAAACACAATATGAAGAGAAATGGGAAAAATGGTCAAAGTTTAAGATTTAAACCAGCGACAAGGAATACTGACTGATTGAATAAGAGGAACTGTTCTGACAAATGGTCAAATGAGAATGTGACTCCCGACTGCATTTTTATTTATTTTTTATTTTATATTATCTCTGTATTTGTATCTATAGCTGTATTGCATTGTTTATTTTGTTTGGGTTGTTATGTACGTGCACAGCTGTTGTTGTAATGTTTTTATATAATAAGTGTCAAAAAAACAACTGTACACATTTTACCAGAACCAGTGTCATATTTCATACATCCATTCACAGAGACATGTGCTGAGTGTGTTACCATACCATAAGCTTATTACTAACATGTGTTGTTGTTGTTGTCCTCAGGTTCATTGAGAGTAATAAGATGGAGACTGCATCCAAATATTCCTTCAGAGGACTCAGGGACTTGACACACTTGTATGTTCTAACCTTTACAATCATTCCCATACATTGTTAAGACATCTCATCTGTAATATTTATTCGCTAAAGTCATTTTTTAATATGAAGCCATTGTGAACCATTGTAGGTGATGCTTAATAATTCACATTTTATTCAGAATAAGGGTAACAGCGTTGAACATTAATATTGAGTATATATCAAGAATATTAGTTTTTTCTTCAGTGTTTCCAGTCATTAAAGTGTTACTTGTACCTTAAGTCTATAAATATGATGCATGTTTTTCCATTTTCTGTCATTGGAGTTATGATTTTCTTAATATGTGCCATTTTCTGTATTGATCAATGCCTGTATTTTCCAGGTCTTTGGCAAACAACAACATTAAAGCATTACCTCGGGACGTTTTCAACGACTTGGACTCACTGATAGAGCTGTGAGTTTCATAATCCGTATCAAAAATGAATCCCGGGTCCCATGCATTTCTTCTAATGTATGTTTTAGCTACTTTGTTCATCTGCAATGAAACTGAGGACCTCTCTTCTGCAGGGACCTGCGAGGCAATGCTTTCGAGTGTGACTGCCGAGCGAAGTGGCTGATGACGTGGCTGAAGAACACCAACGCCACGGTTTCGGATGTCGTGTGTGCTGGACCAGAGGACATGAAGGACAAGCGCCTCAATGATATGACCAGCCTGCACAACGAGTGCGTCTCAACAGGTGAGAAACACCTGAGCCAGATGGCCTTGTCTCTGTTCTAAGTGGCATCAGGCCACTCGACCAGGTCATCCCAACAAGTGTAAAGAGGAGGCAAAAGTGTGGGGTTTCTAAATTCAGAATGTGCCTTTTCTGCAGATTTCGTCCTCCATCAGTCCCTGGCATCTGAGTCTCTGTCTGTGGACACATTCAGCTATAAGAACGACGTCTATGTGACGATAGCTGCTCCCAGCGCAGAGAGCTGTATGGTTTTCCAGTGGGACCACATAGAAATGAACTTCAGGACGTATGATAACATCACAGGTACGGCAAATGTTTTAACTGTGGATGCTGTTGTTACATTTTGAGAGTTTGGGGCCATTTTGCTTCATAAAATGTCGGCCATTTTGTCTTCTTTCTGAATTTTGAGAAGGAAAAATACACATTTAAGAGTTTTTCTTACTGCGTTTTGTGTTTGTAGATTCAGTAGCATTCCCATTGTTTACAGTTTTTACTGATCTATGGAATGATGCAAATAAATATCCTAAAATCCCTCTGTACAAACCTTTAACTCTGATAGGTTTGAATTTACAAATAGAGAATTTTCCACCTGGCATTATACTGTATTCAAGTTTCTGTACTAGTAATGTATTTAAATTAAATTAGCACATATTTGATACAAAATAATGGCTAATTTGCATATTTAAACGCAGCATTTCAGAAAACCTGTCCAGCCAGTAGTGAGCTGGGGAAGTTTGAAAGTGTTTTTCAATAACAACCTTTTACAATTTGGTATTGGCCCATTTATTTTAATTTCTCCGCCTTTCAGGTCAGTCCATTGTGGGGTGCAAGTCAGTGGTCATCCAGGACCAGGTGTTTGTCATCGTGGCTCAGCTGTTTGGTGGCTCCCACATCTACAAGTTTGATGAGGACCAAAGCAGCTTCAGCAGGTTTCAGGACATCGAGGTGTCCAAGATCTCCAAGCCCAATGACATTGAGGCGTTCCAGGTGGGCTCTGACTGGTTCTTTGTGATTGCTGACAGTTCAAAAGCAGGCCTGTCCACCCTCTACAAGTGGAACGATAAGGGCTTTTATTCCTCGCTGCACGAGTGGTACCGCGACACAGACGCAGAGTTCCTGGACTTGGATGGGAAGGCGCACCTTATCTTGGCGAGCCGCTCGCAGGTGCCTGTGATCTACCAGTGGAGCCGGAGCAACCAGAAGTTTGTCCTGCAGGGAGAGATCCCTCACATGGAGGACGTTGTAGCTGTGAAGCACTTCCGGATCAAGGAGGAACTCTACCTGGCTATGACGCGCTATATCGGTGACTCCAAAATCCTTCGTTGGGGTACCAAACAGTTTACAGAGATCCAGGCCTTGCCCTCACGAGGCTCCATGATTCTCCAGCCTTTTTTTTTCAAAGAGCGTTACTACATGGCTCTGGGAAGCGATTACACCTTCTCGCAGATCTACATGTGGGATGATGAGAACAAACTATTTGACCGCTTCAAGGAAGTGTACATCCAGGCACCGCGCTCCTTCACTGTGGTTTCCACCGACCGCAGGGACTTCATCTTCACCTCCAGCTTCAAGGGAAACACGCAGATCTTTGAGCACATCATGATTGACTTGAGCTTGTGAGGGGCCTTGTCATGGCCCCCGAAAGATTGGTGGAGGGGGGAAAAAAGGACTACAACACACTTTTTCAATTTCAATCCTTTCATTCGTTTCCGTCCCAAGTCAAAGCTGGGTAAAGATGTGTTTAGAATTCTTATAGTTTTCAAGCTTGATGGCCTTGTCCAAATATCTGTTTCCATGGTCTTTCAGACTTCAGAGACTGAGAGGGGGAGTCAAGAGGGGGACAAGCGTAAAAGGAGGCTGGTATTCTCCTAAAAATCCAGCTCACATTCCTGAAGGTGGAATACTTTCATATGATTTGGATCTATTTTCAGTTTAATATCCCCTATCCTAATGGTTTTATACCCTAACTAATATACAACAAGACCTAAGAGAAGTATCATATTATTTTCTTATGTTCTCATTAAGGGCATGTAACAGGTGTGGTTGCTCCTCGTGTGCCACTTACCTCATGTCCTCATGTGGTGATTGTTGCCTTATCAGCTCTGGGGTTCTGTGTCCTGATTGGCCCACAGTGCCTCCCTCTGGCCGTGATGAAGTATCACACCCCTTTGCTTTTTCCAAACAGGGAATGTCTTGAAAGCACAAACCTTTAATTATCCTAGGTGAGACCCCAGCCTTTAGAGTGTAGTTGTTACGAGACGAATGTTACTGTAGGTGCTATAGATTATATCGCGTACAGTAAATAAGGTACCAGTGGTTTGTGAGGTGGAGAAATATTCAGGACTGGATATAGCTCATGCCTTTTTAGACTAACATGTGAATGGAATAAACTTTTAGATCAGACTAACTATAGTAGAAACTGATAGAAGCTCTTTAAGTGTTTCAGGGAACAAACCTATATAAAAATTAAAAAAGCAACCTGAGTTGTTGTACTACTGACATCATTTAACTTTTTATTTTTCAACTAAAACTTTAAAAGGCTCCTCACTGAAGAAGTGATAGCTCACATTTATGAACAAAATAAAGACATCATTTATTTGTCTACAAATGAAGGAAACAATGTGTTAATGTAAATATGTTCACTCTAGTTGAGAGGCTTTTTCCGTCTGTCATTCTCTTCTTACTAATACTGAATGTTAACTTACAAGCTACAACATGTACATACAACATGGACTGCAATGCCACTACCTGTTTGTCACACAAAAACTGAACAGAACTTTGCACTTACTTTTAAAAAAAACTAATAAAAAAACATTACTGCAACTTGCAAGCGCATGACATTCAAAAAAGGGTGTTTGCTCAATTATTTTGAAATGAACCTGACAAACTCAGAAGTCTACAAGTGCTTCTTCTCATTAAGAGAATGGTATTGTAAATACTGGAATATGCAAGCTTTATAACATGCGGGTTATTTTGTATGATTTTGTTTTAAGCATATTGAATGTTACTCAAAGTATACTGTAAATATAATCAGTTGGGTATCAAAATAAATGTGTAAAAAATAAGATTGGAAGGTGTGTGTTATCATTCATTGATCATCAGGATGAAAGGACTCAGTCATTATGTCAAACCCAGAGTAAATTATCCAATGACTGCAGTTGCTCTCATTTAGTGTCTTTTAGCTTTGTTTTGATAGGCTGCAACTTCTGGGTTTAAAAGTGATTTAAAACCTGCATTTGCAAAAAAAGTCAGATTTTATCAAAGACTATAAGAAAATTACCCTAAATGTCACTTTTCTGACCTTACATTTTTCTGACAAGTGCATGGTATCGATCTCTAGTTCCAAGTATCTTTCAATACAGCATGATGTGTATTTAAAAAATGATGTTCTCTTTATGAGTAAAATAGACGATAAAGCAGCGTATGCTTATGGGCGGAGCAAACGTGTGATTGACAGGTTGCTACAACAGTGTTGTTGGCTTTTGGTGTGGCCAGTGTTTTGGTTTTCGAACCTTAACCCTTTCACAGTGTGTTTTTAGTTAATGGTAAAATGTTTCCCGCCTAAAATGTATTTTCCACGTTCAGGTGTATTAGCTCTTGTCTCTTGTGGTTCCAAAAAGGAATAGATGGTGACAAATGCTTTACTCTGAAAAAATAATTGTTAACGTACAGTATCTGTGACTATATCCACATTGGTTTTCACTCTAAGGCTGCAACCTCACTGTTTTGGTTTATTGGATTTTCAGTGAAAAAGCTCTCATGAGCCAAATTATGTTACAAACCACTATCATGTAATTCAATGTGAGCTTTCATAGGAAGCCTCTGCTCACAGTTAAACCACAATGCAAATGAGCACTGTAAAAAATAAAAGGACTGTGACATCATAAATCTACAGTTTAACAGTCAGTCTGCAATAATGAGTTACAAATGAACAAATCAAGAGTTTGGGGTTAAGATGGCAGCTTCCTTACAGATAGACCATACAATACAGAATATTGCTTTATGCACTAACATCACATGTGCACATCTACATTACAGTGTTACACTGTAAACATTTACCAGCATTTCACTACATTTAACAGTATTATTTTACAGTGACATATTGTAATCAAGGCCCCCTGTAATATCCCAACAAATACATGTAAAAAGGACTGTATCCTTGGATTTCACAGCATTTAACTATTATTTCACAATAAATACTGCAATCAAAATCCTCTGTAATATCACAACAACATTGTAAACATTGCAAGGATTTCACAGCATTTAAGAGTATCATATTACAGAGAAATATTGTAATAAAAAGCCCCTGTAATATCACAACAAAATATCTATAAAACTACAGTAAAATTGGATTTGACATTATTTAACTATTATTTCACAGTAAAGCACTGTACTCAAAATCATCTGTAATAGCACAACCCATTACTGTAACATTTGAATTGTGCAGCATTGCACATGTGCAGAATAGACTATTCTAACCGGCGTGTGTCCTGCAGCATAGCCTACTTCTCAAACCGTCTGGAAGATTTGAACTGAGACATTCTATACACTGTAAAAAAATATCCTAATTTTACAGGAAATAATTATTTTTTTATAGTAATTATGTTTTTTTAAATAACTTGCAAAATCCCGTAAAATGACAGATGAACTATAAATTAACAACCCAAAACATTATTTTAAGTATTTTGACAACAACAAATAACATTTATTTCATTTTTTTTTTAAAGTAAATTTACTATATCATATTTACAGTATTTTTGCACTTTCAGAAAATACATGCAGATGTATGTAAAATAAAAATTATTATCTGCAATTAAATATGTAACTCCTCGTAATATAAAAGTGTATTACTATTATAAGACTTTAAGATATTTCTTTGTAATTTTAAGGTACCTACACATGAAACTGTAAAAAAAAAGTGTCAAACATTTTTACATAAAATCATTTTCTCAATATTCGATTGAATCCACCACAAACACAAAATATCCAATGTTGAAACAAAAGTAAATAAATATGTTTTCATGAAATTCCTAACTTACTATATTGTAAACATCTACAGTTGACAATATCATTAAAAAAAAAAAAAAAATCATAGAAAGTGGAGAAATCTCTGCAGGGAGGACCAAGGTTTAAAACACACACTGTTATTTACTCAACAATAAGTCACAGTTATCCATAACATGTACAGCTGATAACCCTCTTACTCAGAATGCTTCATATCCTAACCCTAAACCCATTTTATGTGCCTAGTTTGACGGTGTAAGTAGCACAGCTTACTGCAAAAAGTCCTAGCAGAATTATACAATCTGAAAGTTGAGCCATTGTCAGAAAGAACCTGTTTGTCTTTCTGTTATCCATTAGAAAGATGGCAGAAGGGCTTATTTACACCAACAGCCTAGTTTAAATAGCTTAAAAACTGTTTTTCTGTCAATGATACGGTTGCTGGTTAAATAACTCACAGAGGTTTCTCTGTCTTCAACAACTCCAGCAGTGGCCAAACAAGTTTAGGTTCCCGGTGATATACACTGTGTTGTCTATGCAGGCTGCCATTTAAGATATCGATTTAAGATAAAACAAATGTGTCTAAATTATTCGCTTCCCACAAGTAGACAGGTTGGAAGTAGCTGATTCTGCTTTGATTCTTAAGATTTATGTGCTATTTCTTGTGCATTTATTTATTTAAATATATTATAAAAGTTCCTGCTGTGCTTTCTATGATAATGGTAGTATGAAAGTATAGCAAAACAAATGCAAATGCTTTGTGAACCTCTGTATTGTAAATCTGCAAACCCTACTTTAAATAACTTTAGTTTCTAGTTCCTGCCTCATACTGTCGGATCTTTCTAAAGAGACCAAGTACTTTTGATAGAGGGAGCGGTAAAGACTGTTGGAAACCCCGCCCATCTCACCCATCTCGTCCAGCAAGTCCCTACAGACAGAGAGAGGCAGAGAGGAAGAGTGCCAGAGGACAGAAGAAGCACAGCATGTTAAGTTTTGATAAAACTCGTACTGCTGCAGACACCCCACGTTGACATCGTAAGTTAATTTATTTTCAATCCTCTAATACTGTTTTAGCTTTAAAATTGTACTTTATAATAATCAGTGAGGTCTCATAAGACGAGCACTCGTGTTGCCCTTCTCCTGTTCATGATCCATTCTTATGGTTATTTGATGTAATTTATAATGAATGCTTATTTTGTAACACGATATGTCATCTTTGTTCCTATGACCCAAAGATATAAAAGGATGTTCACAGAAATGGTCATTTAAAGTTGAATTCTGGTTTCCAGCCTGAAGGAGGAAGTTCAAAGTCAAGAATGGTTAGTGAGGCACAAGGCGTGCACTCACTCCTCTCAGGTGTTATGTTGTCTGTATTTGTACAGTGCTGTATGTAGTCATATAGACGGCTTCTGACTGAGTTCCCTCAGGTTAAAGGATCTGTATCTCCCTAAATGTAGTCTTGGTAAACGGAATATGGTTTTGAAAGCATTCTATAATCACACGCTAACATTTTAAAAGTAATGCTTGTCAACAATTTAAAGTGGCACCAAATATTGGAACAGTAACATCATAGTTTTGTCTTTTTTGTCACAGGTACCTTGAAACCAAGAAATGGATATAATTTCACAGCTGGAAGTGCCACCCCCCCTAACCGAAACACATCTTATAA